TGGCACCTCCCAGGCAGAGTCAGTGTGGGGAGATGTCTCCAGGGCCTGTACTAAGGTATGCACTTAGAAATAGTCTGTGGATGTTGGTACGCTTGAAGATGTCGCAGAGGCTCCTTACACTATCTTCGAATTTTTGGATTCTTTTTTCATTTTGCTTTTCCGGGTGGGTGTTTTTTGCTTCTTCGTATTTCAGATCTTTGACTTGATTCTTGCAATCCTCTAGTCTGCTGTTATAAGTTTGTATAATAATCTTTATTTCAGTCAGTGTATGCTTAATTTCTAGTTGGTCCTTTTTCACAACCTTGAGGGTCTCACTAGACTTACTGAGGATCTCATTAAATTTATCGGTTGTCTCACTAGATTTCTTGAGTGTCTGTCGGCAGTTTCTAGAAAATTCTTGAAAAACCTTAAAAGTGTGGTTTTGAACTCTATATCCAGTAGTTTGCTTTCCTCCATTTCTGTCATTTGTGACCTGTTTCTTTGTCTCCGCATTTTTTATGCTTCCCTGTGTTGATAGAGTGGCTTTCTGTGCTAGGTGTTCTATAGGGCCCAGTGGCTCAGCCTCCCCAATTACCTGAGGTGGACACTCTTGGTGTACCCCCTTGTGGGCTTTGTGCACAGTCTTGTTGTAGTTAAGCCTTGATTGCTTTTGGTATCACTGGGAGGAATTGACCTCCAGGCCAATTGGCTGTGAGAATCAGCTGTGTCTGCAGTGGGAGAACTTATGTGCTGGAGACACCCTTCTGGAACAAGACTTGCTTCAGTGGGGCTTTGGTACTCACTGAGTCTGCCCCAAGTGTGTCCCTTATGGATCTGAGGAGTTGTAATCTGGATGGTCCCACTCTGACCACTGGGTACACTGGCTCTTGGATCTCTAAGGAGGTGCTAATTTAGCCTCTGCCTGAGGCTATCCAGCAGGAGCTCAGCTGTGAAAGAATGCAAGCTGCTGTGGGGCCTTGGGCCAGCTGCAGTTGGTTAGATAATTTTCAGATTGCAAAGGGCCAGGCCTTTCATATGCAAGAGCTGGCACACAGCTTTGGTGGGGTGGGGTCCCAGGGGATCAACAGGGCGTAGCAAGCAGTTATGGCTGCTTCTAAGTCCTACCCTAAGAGGCCCTGAGTCTCAGTATCCTGGTAATTCAGAGTATTTAGGTGGCCCGTGTTGTATTAAGGTTCTATTTGTTTGTAATTCAAGTGTTCCATATCCATTACAGAACAATTCCTGTGTTTAGTATTGAGAATTCTTAGAACAACTTCCACACCGCACCTCCTCTGAGTCAGTGTGCTTTTCTCTTTCCTTCTAGTTGTAGAATTTCCACTCGGACAGTCTTCCTGTGGTTCTGGATGATGTCTGTTTAATCTTTTAGTTGTATTTTTGAAGTGGTTGTGCAAGGCAGCAATTTCCGGTGTTTACCTATGCCGCCATCTTGGTTTCTCCTCTAGTAAGCTTTAACGAAAACTAACTACAAACTAAACTCAGTATTCTATGGCCTGGCTTTTTTGCAGTTTTCAATTTAACATAAAACCCAGAAATATTTACTCCTAAAGCAAAAGAGCACCATCAGATGAAAATTACTATGAACTATATCTGGGGTAATTTTTGTTTGCTTGACATTGTTTTGCTTTCTTTTTTTTATTAGAATAATTTTTAAAAACCACAGTGGCTAAAGTAGAATCCGTTATTAAGTAACCTAACTTCTTCATCTCCTTTTATCTAATTCTGGGTCAATAAACATTTCACTATAATTTCAGTTTGAGTTATATATAGCCTTCTTTTCAGACAGCATAATTGCATATATAGTATAGTCATAGGCAGATAGAATTAGCCACTTTTAACCTATGGCCATTCATAGACACAGTTAACCATTTGTAATGGTTACAATGATCTCATAACCTGTGTATGCACAAGGGGATGCCCAGTTAACATTTTAATTCTTTTAAAATGTAGATAGCTTATAATTAGAGCATATTTGAAAATTAGCATATTTCTGTTAAGATAGATATGCACATGCCACTGGGAACTAAACATTAAGTAGTCTTTGATAAAGGTTACATGTTATCATTTAATAGCATTTTAATTATAGTCAACAAGCCATTCATTAATTAAATCATTTTTAAGGGATTTCAAAAAACCTTCCATGGAAATTGGCTTTAATACAATCAACAATCCCATAAGGCTCTTCACTCTGAACCACTCAGTAACAAGTGCTCCAGCTGATAAGCAAGTTGGTTCTTACTCTGAACTGCTGACACCATTAGGTCTCTGCTGGCCCTATGCTGATGGAGACTTTTTTAAGGACAGAAATGACTCTCTTAATAATTTATGTTCAACTGTAGAAAACAACAATGGTGAAACTTTATCTGCTCCAACTTGGAATTTGAAATATAGAAACAGCAGTGTAGAAGAAAATTTAACAGATGAAAGTGATTTATCAGAAAATGAAAAAGCAAATGATACTTTACTCAGCTGTTTTAAAAAGATGGACCTGAACTTAAAACCAGAAACAATAGAAAATGTTGAAGAATCTTTCACAGAAGAACAAAGTGAAGTATTTCCATATCCTGATTTTCTCCCTCCTCCTTTCAGTACTCTGGACTTGCACAAATTAGCCCTCTCAAAATCTGAAAATTGGAAAGCAACAATGGAATCTCCAGAAAGCTGTATTGAACCTTTGATAACTCGTTTATTAGAAATGGAACGATTACAACATACTACTATACAAAAAGAGAGGCCAAGATTACAAACTACCTTCTGTACTCCAGCAGTTACTGAACGACCCTTTTCCTCTAAAACTATACCCAAAACAAGACAGCCAAAACTTTCTGACTCTGTAAGTCTTCAGACAACTTGTGTAGATAAAACTAGAGAAAAAAGGAAAAAGAATTCTGCTTCTTGCAAGCTTGAACAAAATGCTTCACAATGGAATTGGAGCAATGCTGGCAAATATAAATGGAGTTCTAGACCACCATCGCTAAAAAGTTCATCCACAACAAAACAATTGGCAGCAACTTATGACGACTTTAAAAATCCCCAAAGCTCCATTTTAAATCCATGCCAAGAACTCTCAACCAATGTTACTGCTGCCCAGTCAACTCAATCACTGGTTAAAGTGGTCTCAACAAGACCCTGTCTGCCACCAAGGTCTCTAATACCAGTTTCACCTATACCTCTGTCTCTTTCTGAAAATCATAGGGAAGAAATGAAGGCACCAAGGACCAAAAAGAAACTTTACCGAAAACATATAGCATTGAACAGGCCATTCTATATTCAGAATCTAAATTGTCTATCACCTTCATTTAGAGCTAAGGGTAAGTGCTCACCCATTGAGCAAAAATAACATTTCCCCCCATACGTCTCAATATGAGCAAATCTTTCAAGAAGCCCGGCTAAAATATGGTTCATCATTTCGAGATGCAGGTATTAAACATACACACACTACTTGATGTGATATAGAGCAGAACCTGTGGAAATCACCGCTGGGATAGGTGACGTACCAACCCAAGGTGACGTATTGGACAATCTTTTGCATGTTGTTTCAAAATGTTCCGCTTAGTAAACTATTCTACTCAAAAGATTGTTCTTTTGTTGTGATTGTTTCCCAGTATAAGTCCATCAATAAATTGCATAATTGACTTATTGTTGCTATAATTATCCTTGTGTTCTATTATACACACGTAAGAGTTAGTTACCTTTATCAGTGATTTTAAAAAATTCTTCCCACTCTGTTATCTTTTTTCTTTCCCTTCCCATCTCCACAATCTCTTCTATTATTTTGACCTATCCTTTGGGTACTTGGCCATTAAATGCTAAGGAAGTTGCTGTTTTGTTAATATACAAGATCCTCATGGTTCTCCTATGACTTCTTAGAAACTTTCCATTTCCCATGTCCTTTTTATTTGAAAATAAGATTGATTCTTATTTAGGCATGAAACAACCCTCTTCCACTTAAATCTAATAGTTTTTAACTGTCCAAGGAAAAATGGGAAAAAAGTCACTGTCCACAGAGAAGCCAGAATTTCATGTAATGAAATCCCCCCACCCCTGACCCCGGCTCTTTGTTGCTATAAGTCTTAACCCTGGCTAGTTGAAACTAAGCTAAAGCTTAACTCATTAACTGATAAAAAGGGAAACTATGGATTGACACTTACTGTACCTAAGAATCAGGAACACAAAAAAGTAGAGTTCAATTGCAGGCTTACAAAAACAGAATCTTTGGGAGTGGGGCCTGGGACCTACAAAATAAACATCCAGATCATTTTAATGCAGATCATACCCTGAAACACACTGTAAAGGAAAAACATGATGTAATATGCTAATGGGGGGGGGTGCTTTGGTTTTAGTTTTTCTTAAATGTTAAAATAAAGCCACACACAATTGAAACTCCAAACATTACCCCCACAAAGGTAAAAATGAAAAGTAAAAGTCCTCTCCCCATCCCCAAACCCCCACACAAAGGCATTCAGGGATTATTGTGCAAGCACGCACGCACGCACACACACACTCACACACACACACCAGATAAGATGGAATATTTGTGGTAGAGATGAGATGAATAAAAGGATAATTCAAAAAAATGTTGAGGAGAGCAACTATAGTTTAAATCCAGTCTCTATAGGAGAGTAGGGAGGAGCATTTTAGAGGCACTGGTAATCAGGGACCAGTCTGTCAGGAGTTACATGAAGTTGATCATACACTAAAGGACTGCTTTGATTCTTTGGACTGTGTGCGCGTGCGTGCGCATGTTGGGGATGGGAAGGGAGGGAGGTGTACAGGGAAGATAAGGGCAAATTTTTCTTTGGAAGCAACCAGGCTACTTTATCTAGGACAGTGATGGCGAACTTATGACACGTGTGTCAGAGGTGACACCCCAACTCATTTTTTTGGTTGATTTTTCTTTGTTAAATGGCATTTAAATATATAAAATAAATATCAAAAATATGTCTTTTTTTTACTATGGTTGCAAATATCAAATTTCTGTATGTGACACGGCACCAGAGTTGTTAGGGTTTTTCAAAATGCTGACACGCCGAGCTCAAAAGGTTCACCATCACTCATCTAGGATGTCATTAGACCTAAATAAAAGGAGCTACTGCAATACCTTCCAGATCATTAAAATATATTAGCAGCATTGATGATTTCAATTATGAAGCAAAGAGACAAATAATTTTAATATCATGATCACTTAGTAAAAATATAGTCGCTAGGAATCTTTTTTCTGTTTAAACTGAGCTCTAAAATGAGGCTAAGTTGTGTGTAGGAAGTGCATGTAGCCACCTCAAGTCCATTTTGTAGGGTGATAGGGGAAACAACTTGGTTCAAATAGGCAACACATACGACTTAGAGAAACTCACTATGGGTGATGGGATGAGGGGAATGTAGTTATAAACAAATTCAAATATTTGTCTATTTACCAGTCCTGCTGAGACACACTTTCATGATTATTTTTGAATAAACACTTGGAAAACTTTGTAACAGAGACATATAATAAATAATTCTGTTCAGGAAATGTAAAACTTGGCTTGCTCATAAATTCCCACGTTTAGATCTCCAGACCTAAACTTAACTCTTTGGATCTTAACAGAGAAATTCTTTTTCATCAATAAGAGAAAGCACATGTAGAAAATGGCTTTTCTCTTGAAGGTTTGCAGCAATGTCCTCCCCAACCCAATACTCTGTGAATTACTTTCCCTAATAAAAGCAGTATCTCATGGCCTTTGTCAACCACATGAGATAATTATACAGCTCTTAATCTGCCAGCCCACATAGAAAACTACACTCGGGGCCTTTACAGGGCTAGCCAGAGCCACTGCCCTTTAGCCCATTTCTTTTAAAAATCAAGGCTCAACCAAACTAGTCTACTGGCCGCTCGGTGGTGGGTAGCTCCTGGTGGTCCAGTATATTCTACGAAGCCAGACACCGGCCCTTCAACCTCCAATCCTGCTTTGCATGTGTTAAAGATGCACAGGACCTCATAAATATTTTATTCACTGTTTTAAAACATTGAAGACATTTTCTTAAGAAAATGAAGAGTGAGTAGACTGAGAATAAGCGTCAGGCCTCCCCATCTGCAATAAAATAATTTATTTAAATCATTACAGAAAGGGAGTTATCTCATTGCTTATTATGCTTCTATTACTAAGAAAGCCAAAATAAAAATATATGTAAAAGAAAATATGAACACAATTTCCTTTGGTGTATGTTCTGCACTTAATTGCTTAGAAATGTTTTTTGTCTGAAAGGATGATCATACTAAATTGGCTGATTCCAAGCTGCAGGTTCTGTGAAAGGACAGATTCTGCAGAGTAGTTTGGTAAGCTGCTCTCCCACACCTTTCCTCATCACTGAGACTCACATAGCACATCAGATGTCTTCTGAAACTTTTAAAGTAAATATTTAACTTTAATTTAACCTGGCAGTTCCCTATCATATTTTAGCACAGAATAATTTTCGAAGTACATCTGTGACCAGCAGTGAAACAGCACCTAAGAAACATCAGGTAAGAAATGGTGTCTTTAATTTAAAACTTAACATAACCAAGCAAAGAAAATAATCAGGAGACAATATAGTAACAACTGGCATATTTTATTATATTTTCCCAATATGTTGATTGGGAACATTGCTGCTAAAATGCACGTTACAATTCAAATGATACTACAAACAATCAGAATGCATACTGAGTATTTTCAGATTTCAGCTTCCATATCTTGATCACTAAATGGAAAGATTCTTCAGAAGAACAGTCCCTTACCCTACATATAGAAGGAAAAGAACAATTAAAGATGCCATGATGATATCTATCAAAATAACTGGAAAACATTTTAAAACTCAATTTAGTGTACGTTATTGACATGTGAAAAACACAGATGAATGTGTACTGAACATTTCTATAAGGGGGACCTTCTATCTAAGAGAATGATAAAACTCATGTTGAATATCTGAACTGAACTAGGTTACTATTAAGAAACATTTTATGACGTCCAATTTTAATAATGTCATTATAACTAAGGGAAGGAGGTTACACATTTGAATAACTGGCTTCTTTCTTATCTCCAACATTTAAAAGGGCATTCTGTAACTACTTGACATAACTTTTCAGGTATGTGATTCCTTTGTTTCATTTCAGAGATTTTATTTCTACCTAGCCAGCTAAAGTTCTGCTACAAAATGATAGATTAAGTATAGTATTTGTTTTCAGTCATGGAACACATCTGAGAACATTACATTTCACTGCCTCTACCACATACCATAAAACATAGATTTTCGTATTATAAAAATGACCTGAGTATTTGTTTTAGTTAGGAGGGAAAGTGGTGATTATAATGGTAAAAAGTAAAATATTCTTTTAAAACATAAAATTATTCTTGAGAAAAAGTAGAGTGGAATGAGATAGGCAGTGGGGAATGAAACAGGATGCTAGCAATGAAGATTTAAGGGTAAATAAAAATACTAGATGGTTTTAAGGTTTATGACAAGATGCTTCATCCTTTCAAAGCCTCACAATTCCAACCTACTTTCTAATAACCTTCAAGAATAAGATCTACCTAGGACAGTGATGGCAAACCTATGACACACGTGTCAGAGGTGACACCCGAACTCATTTTATTGGTTCATTTTTCTTTGTTAAATGGCATTTAAATATATAAAATAAATATCAAAAATATAAGTCTTTGTTTTACTATGGTTGCAAATATCAAAAAATTTCTATATGTGACACGGCACCAGAGTTAAGTTAGGGTTTTTCAAACTGCTGACACGCCGAGCTCAAAAGGTTCGCCATCACTGACCTAGGACCTTATTTAGAACTGTGTCCAAAATGTATATGCTTCCTTAAAATCGCAACTATTTCCCCAACTACAGAAAGAACTATGACACCTTTGAGAGTTATGTCCTAAGACGAACGAGCCCTGAAGTCTGACAATCACATGATATACTTGATATCATTTTTGCCATAAAGTGTGTAATAAAGCAAAACCTTCATGAGATAATTATATTTGAAAACTATATAGCTACTCTGAAACATGAATGCAGGTTTTTAAAAGATTATTCACTAAATACCTCAATCCAACAGAGTTCTTAGAGTTCCAAATTTCTTCCTCAGCAATATTACAAATTCAAATAATGTCATTTATATAGACTGTTTACAGGGTTCCTGTTTAATATATTAATCTAGGAATACTTTGGGAATATAAAAGATCAAAATTATATCACCTCTCATTTCCCTTAAGAAGAAAAACTGACAATGGCTCTAAATATTTTGCCTACTTGAAGACCATGTCTGGAGGAACACTTGTTAAGCATAAAATTACTGTCCTGACCGGTTTGGCTCAGTGGGTAGAGCATCGGCCTGCAAACCCAAGGGTCCCAGGTTTGATTCCGGTCAAGGGCATGTACCTTGGTTGCGGGTGCATCCCCAGTGGGGAGTGTGCAGGGGGCAACTGATCAATGTTTCTCTCTCATCGATCTTTCTAACTCTCTGTCCCTCTCCCTTCCTCTCTGTAAAAAAATCAATAAAATATATTTTATAAAAAAAAAAGAATAAAATTACTAAAGGGCAAGTTGGAGAATAGGGTATTATAGGAGTTGAATAGTATTCTTAAAATTCCAGTTTCTATTCTTTTGCATCTGCCAAGGAGATAAGATACCCAAAGCTAAAGACTACGTTTTATGTAAGCTATTTTGATGTTTGCTATTTTCTTAGTAATCCTTAGGAACCAAACTTAAAAACCATGTTTATATAAGGAAGCTCACCATTCAAGAGTCTTATATATCACTAAATTTGACTACAATTTTTATTTTAGGAAAGGGAAGATGGGGGAGAGCCAGAGCATGATAAAACAAGCACTTTACAAATGAGCATAATAGCACTACTAATCTAAGTACCAAACATTAATGAAACCCAAATCATAATGCTGAAAACTAAAAAATTAGACAAAAATTAAATGGAGGATTTTTTTAAATCTTTTATAGAACAGAAACCTTAGCTCATGTCTTCTGGTTGTCATCATCTTCCACTGAGCTGCACCTAAAACACAAAGAACAAGTAACAAGCAACTTTGTTTTTTAAGTAGTATGTAACAGATTCGAAGGCATAAGATGAACTGTTTCTAGTAGAAGTTAACTTATTAAATAATTATATAAAATGAAGCCATGAAAATCACCAGAAGCATCAAAATGTTAACTATTTTGAGTGAAAATAACTACAAAAGACTTGAATATGCAGCATATTATTACCAAAATAAAATAAGTAATGGTGGGAAATCTCTACCCATTCCATTAGGTAGAAAGCTGCACCTGTGATGCCTCATTTACAAGGCTCACTCTACCTGAAGATGAGAACCACCTTGTATTTAGTTTAGTTAGTCTAAACCGTGAAGAGATGGGGTGTAGATTCAAAGTTGGCTTATTATATCATCTATCGCTTTCCTGGCTGTAGTTCATGTCTTTAAGTGGAGCAAAACCCACCAGAAGAATGCTGCTATTCTGATTTTCCATTCTTGAATGCACCAAAATGTGCATGCTTGTTGTAATTAGTGCCTGGGTGAATAAAAAAATCCCATTTACAATTTAAAAATATTATTTAAGCCCATAAAATCTGATTATTTTCCATATTCCTCCGGGAGACAAGAATTAATCTTACCACCCAAAGGAAAAAGATTACATAAATTTCTGAAAATTCTCTTCCACCATGCTAAAAATATAAATTCCTTTGTGTTGCAAAACCAAGCTGATTTACATGATTTTTGTTTTAAACTGTTGCTAAATGTTTATCTACACATGCTGTCAGAAATAACCTTGTTAAGAAGGTGAAGCTGGTGTCTCAGCAAATCAGACCCCTTGGAGAAGGCGTTGAATGGCCTGTGCCCCGTTTTCCTTTTTTCTCTTTCCGCACCATCAAAAGGAAAAGTGAGAAAATAGCAGAAACATTAGTTAAATCCTGATTTTATACCCCCTAACCTACAGGAATTATCTCACTACACTGAAAGCTGATAATATTTGTAGAAGTTTTTGATGAAATAATTAGGATCCTAATTAGTAATAAAATAATAAACTTTGGCTAGGCTTACATCTTTAGCAAATAATTCTATTAAAGACTTTAAGGAAGAAACAAAGGTTGCTTTTAACTATTTATGGTTTACCTGACTTACCAGCACTGAAGACAAAAATTTTTAAAAATGGCTACAAATGCCTTGTTCACAAAAGACTTTATTATCTAGTGATGCATACTGAGAACATACAGAAATCTGCATGGCCACTTCACATGCAGTAGAACAATCTTCACTTTACAATAAGTGAGTGTCAACTGTTTTATGCAATAGACAACACTTTAAAGTCACATTCTTAAAGAAAAGCTTCATTTACAAAAGAAATAAAGGTAAAGAAGCAATTACCGCTTTTAAAAAGCAGCTGCTTTGTTCAAGAGTGGAAGGTTTATGCCTGTATTGAAAGACAACATGATCACAAATAATGAAAACAATGAACAAATTACTGATTTATTCCCTTCCTTAGTCCTGTTAATCCCTAACTCCAGGGAACAATCCCCACCTGGGGAAACAACCTTTCTCAGGGAGGTGGTCCTGGTTAGAACACATAACACCAAGAAGGGGAGCAAACATATTAATAACAGTATGCCAGGTCTCTTGAAACATATGCTATGCAGATGTTTCTTCCCTGCAGCGACTGTGTCAAGCAACAAGGATGGACCAGCTTCTGGCATTGTTCCAATAAAATAACATCTTAAAACACCAGTGACGTTGATGGTTTAGCTTACCTTCAGTGTACTGAATGTTGTACACAACCTGCTTTAAAAGAGGAGACCATCCCTGCAGGCAGGCTCAAGAAGGAACAGACCCCTTTCGGCAATGACTACACCAAGGGCATGCTGCTGTGGCCTGCACACACATACCTAGGAAAATGTGAATATAAACAGCATTTATGCTGGCCATTTTACCTGAAGACCAAAATGAAGCCAAGTCTGCTAAAAATAAATCAACCACCCAGCATTACTACTTATTTTATAACAAGATGCTTTTGTCTTTTATGTGAACTGCAACCATATACATTAGCACTATAATTTTGTGCAGTCTTGGCAGTTAAAACAGTTCTACAGTGAAATTTCACATAAGACACAAAACAGATTAACTAACATTTCTAAAAGAAACATCACCCTTGGTGTTAATTCAAATATATCATGCTTCCTCAAATTTGATGGAGAAATATTTATAAGTTTATATACATTAATAAACTGCTGTGAAATTTCTTCAGTCTGTACTTAATTACTCAAACCATTGGAACTTCTTCATCTTATTTAAATTTTTTCCTGGATAAAGACATGCTGTAGGGCCTGGTTGATGCTAATCCGTTTAGCTGGGTCCAACATTAGTATCTGGTCCAACAAGTCCTTTAGCTGGTGTACTTTTTTACGCTGGTCTTCAGGAAGTCGCTGGCACCCAATCAAGTCAGCCAAAAGGTCCTTAGTTGGATTAATGGTGCTCATGACTGTAACTTTCTCCTAAAAATAATTTTTAAAATGCGTATCTCTAAATAAAGTTACTAAAAACATATAATACATCAGACTTTTGTCTACCAAAATATTAATTTATAAGAATAACCATCTACTCATTTAGAACTTTTACGTGACTTCCTATATCCTGTCTTTTCAAGAAGCAATAAGAAAGCCTAAATGAAAAGGGTTAACCAGAAGTTAGCTATGAGTTTTGTTTGTTTTAAATCATACTGTAATATAATTTTATAAAAATAACAAACTTGCCCTAACCGGTTTGGCTCAATGGATAGAGCGTCGGCCTGCAGACTCAAGGGTCCCAGGTTCTATTCCGGTCAAGGGCATGTACCTTGGCTGCGGGCACATCCCCAGTTAGGGGGTGTACAGGAGGCAGCTGATCAATGTCTCTCTCTCATTGATGTTTCTGTCTATCCCTCTCCCTTCCTCTCTGTAAAAAATCAATAAAATATATTCAAAATAATAATAAACTCTAAAACTTAAGTACTTAAAATTTGAGAATTCAAAAATATTGTTAAGTAATTAAAAATAGCATAGTAAGTACTTGCTGTTAGAGAACTGTACTTTTCCCACCCTGAAGTGGAAACAGATAGACCTGTAAACGAGTTGATACCATGAAGTGGTAAGTGCTCTGACAAAGTTAGGGACATCCTATATAATAAAAGGTTAATATGCTAAGTGTCCAGCCATTCGTTCAACCAAAGCATAATATGCTAATGATATGCTAAGGCCACTCAACCGCTTGCTCTGACATGCACTGACCACCAGGGGCAGACAGTCAACCAGTCACTATGACAGTGATGGCGAACCTATGACACTCATTTTTTTGGTTGATTTTTCTTTGTTAAATGGCATTTAAATATATAAAATAAATATCAAAAATATAAGTCTTTGTTTTACTATGGTTGCAAATATCAAAAAATTTCTATATGTTACATGGCACTAGAGTTAAGTTAGGGCTTTTCAAAATGCGGACACGCTGAGCTCAAGAGGTTCACCATCACTGCACTATTACGTGCACTGACCACCAGGAGGAAGACGCTCTGACCAGTAGTTGCTGCTGGGGTCTGGCCAATCAGGACTGTGCGAGATGGGCCGGACATGCCCTGAAGCCCCCTCCACCGCCACCCAGGGGACTCTCCCCAGCTGATAAACCTCCCATATTCCTCCCTGGCCCCAATCATGCACCGGTGGGGTCCCTCAGCCTGGCCTGCACACTCTTGCAATCCAGGACCCCTCGGGGGATGTTGGAGAGCCAGTTTTGGCCTGATCCCACAGGCCAGACCGAAGGACCCCACCAGTACACAAATTCGTGCATCGGGCCTCTAGTATAATATAACAGAGTCAAAATAAAGAAGTCCTTACTTCAACCTGGAGGTTTTGGAAAGGCTCACACAGAATGTATATTTCATATGAGGCTTGAAATAGAATAAATTGAATACATATTCTTTTTAGGGGATGAGGAAATACAGTAAACCAATAAGATGAGGATGGTCTGTGAACAGAGGTCTTAAAGGTCATGCCCTTTAGCTAAGTGCCAAGTATGGAATGGTAGGGTTTACAGAGTTCAGTGAAAAGAGGGCATACTGTTCATATCATAGAAGACTTAGTTTGTCATTCTGAGAAATTTAAATATATTATCGTCTAGGTAACAGAAAGCCAATGAAGGGTTTTTAACACACTGTATGCAGGAAACGTATTTATACGTTTTACGTTGACTGGAGGTAGTAGAGCGCGGGACACGTATTAATACTTTTTTTATAGACTAGCGGTAGAATGCGGGTAACATATAAATACGTAAACTAAAGTTATCTTAATTTTACTGAACGTTGCCATTTGCACAATAAATTAGCAAAAACGGCCCACGCCACCTGTTAGCGCGATAAAAACTATCCGCAAACAATGTGTTAAGCAAGGAGAGTAACATGATCAGATTTGTTTTCAAAAAAGATCACTATGACAGCAATATGGAAGGTAGGTAGATGGTGGGCCAGGCCAAGAGTGATCCAAAAGAAGAGATGAGAAGGTCCTAAATATGACCTATAATAAAAATAAACTCATACTATACAAACATTTTTAAATTTTTTCATCTTTTTACAACTTGATGCATTTTATTCAGGAATCAGCCTACACCAAAAAGAAATTATTTTAATGTTTCAAAATATTCATAGCTCCTAGTATGACCCAGGTCTTTTGTTAACAGTAAGATATTCATTTAATCTTGCACACTTAAAAGAGACTTACCCTCTCTGTTACTTTATCAACTTCTATGTACATGAAATTGAGGTTTTGATCAAAATGCTGGTCTTTGAATACACCTTTCCGAATCATCTGGAAATAAAACAAAATAAAAAACTTAATTTTTGAACTTATGCAACAGTCTGGCTTACTAACAATTTAATACATAACAAGTCACAGATATTTAGCCTCTCTGGGTTTACTTTCTCTTTTGAAAATGATCTCATATTTCTTGCTCTCAAGAGTTTAACTCTTTTATTTCATTTTTTAAAATTTTTTTTTGTCTGATTTCAGAGAGGAAGGGAGAGCGAAAGAGAAATAGAAACATCAATGATGAGAGAGAATCGTCAATCGGCTGCTTCCTGCACACCCTCTACTGGGGATCAAGCGCACAACCGCAACCCCAGGCATGTGCCCTTGATCGGAATCAAACCCGGGACCCTTCAGTCCGCAGGCCGACACTCTATCCACTGAACCAAACCAGCTAGGGCACGAGTTTAACTAAAAAGCAAATAAGTCCTAGTCGGTTGGTTCAGTGGACTGAATGGTCCTGAGTTTAATTCTGGTCAAGGGCACATGCTCGAGTTGAGGGCTCAATCCCCAGTAGTGGGTAAGTAGGAGGCAGCAGATCAATGATTCTCTTTTGTCATTGATGTTTTTCTCTCTCTCCCTCTCCCTCCCTCTCTGAAATCAATAAATATATATTAAAAAAATAAAAAGCAAATATAATTGTCATGCCTAAAACAACTTAATCATATGAAATTATTATATTTCCCCCAGGCAGTGACTTAAACCAATTATGATATGAAGTTGTGCTTTCACTATTCCAAATTGAGGATTAAGCAAAGACTTAAAATCATTTGTTCTTAGGAAAACGATTACACAATTTGAGCCTTTTCTATTGGCAGTTAAGTAACCTAATGACATTTTAGAAATTATGCTCAAATAGCTCTAAAATGAAACAGATTAGAACTCAGTAAAATAAATACCAACAGCTAATTTCTGTGTTGTTTATTCTAAATAAATCCAACATAACATAAATTGAAATCACAAAAGTCTAAGATATGGCTCTCAGACATTTAAAAAATCTCTAAAGTTCTTGCTTTGTGTTAATCAAACAGAAATTGATATGATAGCTGAAGCACTACGAATAAGTTTTATGTCAGAAAGATGTCATTTCAAGTGAATTTTCTTGATACCATCATTTCCCAACTAACTTCCAATCTTTAATAAACTCATGGCCATCAAGTTCCTCTTTCAATGTTTACCCTTTACTCCCCTGATGACTGAGTCCTTCCTTACATCTAACTAATCTGACCTGCATCTTTTTTTCATTTCAGCTCTCAAGCATGTTCATGCTGTTACCAATAAGGGTGTGTTCCCAAGAACACTGTTGTTTCTGGAAGAACAGACACATGAAATATATATAAATATGGTGCTTAACAAATTTATGTTCATCAATTTTCTCTTCCTCAATTACAATTCTACCTTAAACTATAGGTCCCTACCATCTGCTTAATTCAAGAGGGTAGAGAAAAACATAAGACAGATTTTAGAGGGGAAAGGGAAACAGTTCTATTCTCTTTTGATAGTTCCTGGCTCATTAGAACCACTAATGAGAAGGAACTAAACGAATCAGAGTAGCCACATACCTGCCTCTCTCAAATCATTTTATAGCCATTAGTGATGAGTTAAGGGTCAGCAATCGGCCAGTCTATGGGAAACTACTGCTGAGATCTTCAATAAATACAAGTTCAGGTTAATGTCCTACCTTATTTGGCATCTTTCCTTTGAGATCCATGGCGAGCTTCAACATGTGGTTGTTGGTTTTGCCAGGAAATAAAATTTTTCCAGTATAGAGTTCATATAAGGTACAACCTACAGACCACATATCTATGCCATAGTCATAGCTTTTACCTATAACTGAAAACAAAATAGAAGTTAAATATAGGATTAAAAAAATCAACTACTATTTATTTCCATTAATGGGATATTAATTTTAGCTTGAACTATATAAACACAATCTTAATGCCACTATGGCATTAGTTTCATGTTCTTTCCCATTAGTTCTTAATAGAACCACAAACTTAAAACCTAAAAAAATGAGGGCATGGGGAAGGAATTAAAGGGGCAGAGAAAAATGTGTATTTATTCTTTTATCATTTCACCTTTGGTGGAGGTGCTAATCAGCCTCTACCAAGGAGAAAAAACAAAGGTCCCACACAATTCATATATTTGATAATCAGACCTTGAGTACTCAAGAGCAGTCTTCTAAAGTCGAGGATTTTCCACAACTGTTTTTGCTACTCTTTCCAGACAAGACCAAGACTCCTGTCCCAACTACCATCATTCCACCTGAGGAGGATGAACTTGTTACGGTTCCCTTCCTCATGAATGACCTCGTGCAGCTGCTAAAGTGCGATGAAAACAGTACTTAGACATTAAATATGCTGTTTCCACCACATATGATGGCCCAGGTCAAAAACCATTTGAAGAAACTTACTGATTTCAGGAGCACGATAAAATCTACTGACAAGATAAGGAGTTATGTCATTATCCGCAACATGTGAAGCCGACCCAAAATCACAGAGCTTTAAAATAGTTTTTGATTCATTAACCTGAAAAACATTTTATCATGGAAGTTTAATTCATGCCAGGAATAATTAAGACAAGTAATCAGATAAAAATAATTGGCTTTGAGAAGTTATTTCCAATATTGAGAACAAAGTCACTCTTTTAAAAATTCCTTTTTAAATTATTTTAAACCTCAATTTCCTAATTATGAAAAATTAAGGGCTACCAAATATTTGATTATCATTAGTAAAAGAACTTTTCTCAGTGAAGAAATTTGAAATAATACCAAGTAAAGTTAATTTTAACCAACACTATTTAGAAAAGGATGGGGTAGTAAGAGAAAAATCTAAGTGACGCAAAGCATCTTCTAAAAGTCCCCAGAACACCTGCATAAAGTCAAGTTACTATATAAAGGAACACGAAGACATTCATTAATAAGGGCTCAGACTTAGATCAACTTTCATTTGATTTAACTTTCAGTTGCCAAAAAATTATGATGGCAACAAAAGCAAAATGCTTCAGATTAAATTTGGACAAAAACAATAAAAATATTCATGGGAAGCTGCTAAGACCATCCCAAATTTAACAATCACTTCAAGTCTAAAAATTATTAAATCCCTTAAATATAAAGAAAGTTATTAGTCAAGAAAATGTTAAATATACTTGGCAAAACTGATAAACATGAACTCTATATTAGTCATTTGTTTCTTTTGTCCTTTAAATACTTCAACATACACAGTAACAGTGACATCTGCTGAGAAAGGCTGGAGCTGCTCCCATGACTGCTGCCACTCATGAGTCAGAAGCATGTTCAGGATTAACAAGTGAAGATAATTCATATTCCAGAGTCCCTTCCCCCCTTCAAAAGAGACACACACAAATTCCGAGTTGGGACTTGAACTTGGCCTACTGTTCCCACCCAAAAGAAACATAAAGCTTTAAATAAATAACTCTAGTACTCTCTACTGGGATGTTGTAAAGCTTGATCAATGTAACAGACTGGTCCTTTAAGATGATATCCATGGAATTAAACTAATGATAGAGCTGTCACATCCATATCTCTTCATCTGGGGGATCAGGAAAACAGGTATCTTCAAAAGGAAAAGTACTTTTAAAGCTTTTTAAAGTATAAACTGCATTTAGCTACTTAAGAATGCAATTGCAATACTCAGAAATAAAACCAGGACCATTTTAAAATGAGAAATCTACCAATGGAACTCTTGATCTAGGTAAAATGCCTTATATAGTAGCAGGCTATCCACACTTATGTGCCCTTTAGTTTGGCTACACAACTACTACCCCCTCATGAGGAATATGGTACTTCTATCACACTAGTGGTTTAAAGATTTGGATTTTCATTAAACAGCTCCATGTGGTCTCTGATAATCTATTTTTTCCTTCTTCAGGAAGAAGGGAAAATATATTCCATTTCAGAATCCATGTGAAATCTAGTTTAGCATTAACTCAAAGAAAAATTAAGTTTTAAAAGCAAGAGCTTCTAACATACTAGCACATATGTTATTCTTTAACCTCCATGGTGGTTACACAAATGTTCACAGTCTATCTTTAAACTGTTTATATTTTATACATTCTTTCATATGGATGGTATATTTCACAATTTAAAAATGAGAAAGGAAAAAAACGGAGGTAAAAATCAACTATGAAGTTGACTAGGCAAGTCTACATATAGTTCATTCATAATATACCTACCATTTCACTGTAATAACTCAGCTTCTCTAACCAAGTTATATTATATATATATGTAATACATTATAAACTCAGACTAAACATATCAAAATGGAATGCCTCATTATTAATGTGATAGTGTGAAAGGAAATACTCTAATCGGATCATAATTTTTCTAAAGTGTGGAACATGTGATTAGAAGATAAACTTGGAATTACCCACATTTTGCACATGCCTCAACTCTGAAAACCTTAGAACAGGGTGAAGAAATGGGGTCAGGGAGGGAATACCTCATGTTCACATATTATTGTGGAAAGAGGTTGTGTGTGCATTAATCACTCCACAATGATGATATATATTTCTAAATTTCAAAAATATAAAATTATATTGTAAATTCGCATGCTACCACATCAGAAGTCTTAAGCTAAAAGAGGTCAAGACAGCTCTGACTCAGTCGCAGGTTCAATTCCATCAAAGGCAAACACCTGAGTTGTGAGTTTGCTCCCCACCCCCCGTCTCCCGCCTCCCATGCAACATGCGGGAGGCAAACCAGTCTATGTGTCTGTCTCAATTGATGTTTCTCTCTCTCTCCTTCCTTCTCTCCCTTCTTCCACTCTCTCTGAAAAGCAATGGGAAAAGTATCCTCAGGTGAGGATTAAAAAAAAAAAAAAGATGTAAAGACAGTTTTAGGAGAGTGAGTTTACTGTGTTTGGGCTCCCAGAAGGCACTGCTTCTAAAACAATCCTATATAATAAAAACCTAATATGCTAAGTGTCTGGTCGTCTGTTCAACCAATCAAAGCATAATATGCTAATGATATGCAAAGGCCACGTAACCACTCACTATGATGTGCAATGACCACCAGGGAGCAGTTAGTTACCTGGTCAACCAGTCGCTATGATGTGCACTGACCACCAGGGGGCCGAAGCTCCGACAGGTAGGTTAGTTTGCTGCAGGGGTCCAGCCAATCAGGACTGAGCGAGATAGGCCGGACACAGCCTGGAGCCTTCCCATGGTCCCTCCCCAGCCCCAATTGTGCACCAGTGGGTTCCCTTGGCCTGGCCTACGCCCCCTCGCAATCCAGGACCCCTCAGGAGATGTCGGAGAGCTGGTTTTGGCCCAATCCTGCAGGCCAGGCCAAGGGACCCCACTGATGCACGAATTTGTGCACTGGGTCTCTAGTAAAGAATAATGGAGCCCTAGCCAGTTTGGCTCAGTGGATAGAGCGTCAGCCTGCAGACTGAAGGGTTCCAGGTTCAATTCCAGTTAAGGGCATGTACCTTGGTTGCGGGCACATCCCCAGTGGGGAGTGTGCAAGAGGCAGCTGGTCGATGTTTCTCTCTCATTGATGTCTCTAACTCTATCCCTCTCCCTTCCTGTCTGTAAAAAATCAATAAAATATATTTTTAAAAAAAGAATAAAGGAAAAAAGAATTACCCCTGGACACCATTAAACTCAACTTCTTATATCTCCTTAAGGCAATTCTCTTAAATGTCCCAAACTCCATCAGTCTATAAAATTCCCTTAAATGTTAACTCCATTAGCCTACAAAATTAAAGAACACAGAAGTGTAAACACACCTTATTTCAAAACAGCAAAACATGCAGCACTTTTTATTCACTACCAGAGGAGGCCCATCATTACTATATTAAAGCATTCTTGGGATTTGTATGTACTCTAAATCCACAATAAAAAGGAAAAATTTGAGACAGTGGCCTATCTCTTCTTTCTTCTTTCTTTATACTTTAAAATTTCATGGCTCAATTTCCAAATAAGTAAAAATTGGTAAAGTAATTTATAATGTGTAATAAATATATACTTTAAGATGTTATTTTTAAAATAATACAGTGGTAATCTCACATTACTGAAAAGAAAATACATGGATGTACAATGCAGCCTTAACTGTTTCACTTACCAGGATATTGTCTGGCTTGATATCAGCATGTAGAATATTGCATCTTTTAAGGAGTTTCAATGCCAAGAACAACTGCTGACTATAGGATCTTACAGCTTTAATATGAAGACCAACATCCTTACCATATTTTTTTAACACCTCTCGTAAATTCATGCTTATAGGAGAGAAAAAAAAACTAAGGGTTAAAATGCAAAATGGACATTTAAAAAACACAAAAACATTTAAGCATAAAGTAAAATCAAGCCCAAAATACAAATTACAATTAAATATTCTGTTCAAGAATACCTCCTCATATATTTGATAAATTTTTCTACACTGAAATGAAAGCATATGAAATTGTGTGTACATAACATAATTTTCCAATAAAACTCAACTTTTAAAATAAATAGAAGGAAAGATATGCAATGGTAAAATCTGTATTGATTTTGGAACAGATTTATATTTGAAAGACTAACAATGAAGCTATACTTTAGAAGATCAAAATTGTATTTCTTCCACGATTCCCATTTCTTATCATTCTGGCTTAATTCTTCCTTGAAATATTTAATTTTCAGAGAATTTCTCTTGTTGAGCTGAAGGCTAAAAGCAAGTAGTAAACTGGCACATAGTATGCAGTCAATTAATGTTATTACATTAATGACTATCAAGAAACCAGCTCTTAATACAAGGTTAAAAAACAAAAACAAGAACTAAATTAAGTCTATAATAATAAAAGCATAATATGCAAATCGACCAAATGGCTGAACAGCGGAACAACCATCTGGATGACCACGCTGACACCCACAGGCGCTAGGCCAGCCAAAGCAGGTGCAATGCGATTGGTCAGGGGCCTACCCATTGCCCCATGATCGCCCTGCAGAGGGAGGCCCAGGCCACTAGCTGGTGGGACGATCAATTAGGGGGTTCCATGATTCCCCGCAAAGGGAGGCTCAGGCTACCTGGCAGCCGTGCTGCAGTGAGTGGGCGGGGCCTCCCTCTATCGGGGAGATCCATTGCAGAGCCCAGGCTAGTTAGGCAGGGCCTACCTCTTTGGGGCGATCAATTGCGAAGCACCACGACCTGGCAGGCGGCACTGCAGTGGGTAGCCTGGGCCTCCCTCTGTGGGGGCAATCCATTGGGAGCCTCGGCTGGGTGGGCAGGGCCTATCTCTTTGGGGCGATACACTGTGGAGCCCCGGCCAGGTGGGCGGGACCTACCTCTTTGGGGTGATTGATCACGGAGACCGGCAGAGGGAGGCCCAGGCTACCTAGCCAGCGGCGCTGTAGCGGGTGGGCGGGGCCTCCTTCTGTGGGGCAATCAATCACGGGGCTCCCAGACTGTGAGAGGGCGCAGGCCAGGCTGAGGAACGCCCATCCCCCCCAACATGCACGAATTTTGTGCGCTGGGCCTCTAGTAAATAATTAAGTAAATAAAAATCAAACACCCAGAAAATCTGTCATTTCAATTGTTTATCTTAAGTGAGGTTGGTAGAGGTGAAGAAGCTAAATTTTCAGTTTATGTATAGGTTCTGACACTGTACCTGAGAGGCTCAAATACGAGACAGAGATGCTGTTTGTGATAAAAGTGTCTGAAGAGCCGCAAACAATGAAATTTGTCATCAGGATCAGCATCATTAAGTTTTTTCAAGAATTCTAGTTCTTTTAAACCAGTTTTCTGCCTGAAATAAAAAAGAAAATTAGGTCAAAATTAAATACAGCCAGAATTTATAAAAACTTAATATATATTTGCTAGTTCTGGTCTGATATAGCATAGTTGATGTTAATTAGTTCGTGTTTTTTTTTAAGTAGTAATAACTCTGTTGAGGAATGACAAGTCTCTGTATCACATAGACAATACTTTATACTTAATCAAATATGATTCTCTGAAGTTAATTTCCAAAATAACCAATCAACAAAACAGAAACACTGAGGAATAAACTACCTTGTTTAAAGGGAAATCAATCATTTTATTCTCATTTTATTGAATAAATAAAATTTATTTTATTGCACATTTTATTCTCAAGTCTTGAGGGGCATCCCAGTCTATCTGTCATCCATCTATCATCTATCTATCTATCTATCTATCTATCTCAGTGGTTCTCAACCTTCTGGCCTTTTAAATAGAGTTCCTCATGTTGTGACCCCCCAACCATAAAATTATTTTCATTGCTACTTTATAACTACAATGCTGCTACTGTTATGAATCATAATGTAAATATGCAGGATAGTCTTAGGTGACCCCTATAAAGGGTCGTTTCACCACCAAAGGGGTCGCGACCCACAGGCTGAGAACCGCTGATCGATCTATTTTATCTATCTATCTATCTATCTAAGGCTAAGCGATCCTCTGACCAATAGCTATGACGCACAATGACCACCAGGTGGCAGAAGCTCCGACCAGTAGCAATGACGCGCACTGACCACCAGGGGACAGACAACACAGAGGCTGCAGAGCTGCAGTTGACTTGGCAGTGGCGATTCTCGGATGACGCACCCCGGAACCAGAGAGGAGGGAGCCCAATTCAGAGATGCATCACCCGAGAAATGCTCTCTCACAACCCAGGACCCCTTGGGAGATGTCGAAGATCCGGTTTCGGCCTGATCCCCACAGGCCAGGCCAAGGGACCCCACCTGCTAGAGGAACCCCTCTCACTCCGCAGACGCCCTTTGAGCCATGGCACTGCCCCAGGTGCGACCAGCTGGTGAGTGACCACAGGAGGTTGGCTCCCGGGCGTGTCTGGCCCGTCTTGCCCAGTCCTGCCCCACTGGCCACCTTCTAATTAATTTCCTTTCAATGTGCACGATTCTGTGCACCAGGGCACTTGTGTTTAATAAAAGTGGAACCACACTGTATACAGTTTCGGTTCCTTAAGGGTCTAAGTAGGAAATGTCTCACCAAATATTAGTATTTGGTTATCCTCTAAAATTCTTGTTATATTTTGTCAATAAGGTACATTTTTTAAAAGTTAGTGTCTATAAAACAGGGGTTGGGGATAACCATCAAAACAAAACAACAAAAAACTTTCTAAGCATGGGGCAGCTTAAGGCTTTAGTATAAATCTACAACATTTCTTTCCAGTGGTTCAAAACCAATACTAAGTTGAGTTTAACACCAGCTCAGTGTGTGGTATAAATTATGCATTAAAACATGTATGTGACAATTAAGTAACCCTAGTCTATTAAAGGAAAAAGGCAACAGAAAGAAGATACAAATAATTCGCTAAACTATCTGATAAACTGGCTTTCCCCTTTTTGTAGGCCACTTTATGCTAATCAGTGACAGCTAATTAATATAATCCTTTTATTCCTCACCTCTGGTCTTGAGTTTAAGATATTCACAGCAAAAGATGGCCATAAGACAAACAGTAGAAAGAAGTAGTCTAAGTTAACATTAGTGCACAGAAGGTTCTGAAATTCACTGAAATGAATTAAATACAAATCAGCCTATAGTTCTAGTACTTCACATATAACACATAGCTATAAATATCCAGTCAAAAAGGAATACTAGTCATTTTATAATTACAGGACTTATTTTACAGAATGTTATTTTTTTTAAATGGCATTTAGAAATATTTTCATTTGAACAAAACATGTGTTAAAGGTTTCATCACAATGACTTACATGAGTTCATTGTTTCTGATAATCTTTACAGCCACTTCTTGGTTGGCTCTTGCATTATCTCTGGCTCGTACGACATTACTGAATACACCTTGACCAGTGTAGCCATACACATTATAGCGCTTATCTAACACTTCACCTATGTTCACACCTAAAAGAGTAAATTAAAAAATTAGAATTTTGAGTAAATTATCAAAACTATGATACACAGAATAAATTAAAAAGTAGGAAACACAGTGCAATCACTCAAAATGCATGTCAAATCCTACTTCGTGCTTGATTTCCCAGACATCATAGAGAATCAAGCCCATGCCTCCACTGTCACTCTCTTCCATGTGGTTAATACTGCATGCCCACTTCTAATGATTACAAGGAGAGTTTTTGCTGTCTTATCAAATGCTAATGATTTTAACATTGAATATGGGAGAAATGTGCTGGTTGAAGTGTTTCCAACTGCAGTCCTGTATGACTAGTACCCCAAGTTCCTTTTATGTTGTTTCTCTTGGTTTCAGATCAAGATGAGCAAGTGATGTACTAACCTCTTCCTTCTGGAGGATTATCTCATGGCTGAAAATAACTGAATAAAATTAGGTTGCAAATCAAGTCTTCACTTTAATTTGCAATGCTTCTGGGGCTGCCTACATAAATTCAGCAGCTGCTAGATGAGCCAAACTTTTTAGGTGATGGCACTATAAAGAAGCTTTTACAAAATGTTACAATGAACGCTAGAATTAATAAGAATTGTGAAGGAAGGGTAAAAACTATCTAGAGACTGTTAGGAAGGGCACGGTCACAAGAGGGGCTGGCCCAGCTTCCAAAGGCAGCAGGCCAAGAGTGAGGAGAGATTTCTCGGCTGCAGAGTGGGGTTTTCCCTGTGAAGATCAAGGCCTGGATCTTGATCCAGAGTCCAGAGCATCAGAGCCAAGAAAAGTGGCCCATGTAACATCCAGTTGTGAAAAGGTGGTGGGGTTTCTGGCCCCTGGGGAGACTGGAGCCAGTCAGAGATAAAGCCACCATTTTGGTTTTTTTTTTTAAAAAAAAACACAGAGCAGCCTGGTCCGCATGGCTCAGTGGTTGAGTGTCACCTATGAACCAGGAGGTCACAGTTTGATTCCAGGTCAGGGCACATGCCCAGGTTGCTGGCTCAATCCCCAGTGTGGAGTGTGCAGGAGGGAGCCGATCAATGATTCTCTCTCATCATTAATGTTTCTGTCTCTCTCCCTCTCCCTTTGTTTCAGAACTTAATAGCAAAATATATATATAAAAAAAATAGTAATAAAATTAAATAAAAAACCCAGAGCACAGGGTTTTCCTTTGCAGCCATTCACCTGGGGCTTTGGTGGAAAGAAGGCAGTGTGGACTGGAATTACCTGAGGAGTGGCTAGGGTCGGAAGCATTGAAGAGAGACATGGAAAACTGGTGGCAGAGAGACCTCAGTCAGTCATCCCATGGCCATATAGAAGGGGGACATTGTTCCTGATAGTCGCAGACCCCTCCCAACAGCTATAGCTGGAGGGGAGGGGAAATGCAAATATCCTGCCCTAAGGGATACCACTGACCCCACACTCAGGAATCCCACTTGTCACACCCTACATCTTGACCCCTGCAGAGGCTACAATAGCAGAGGCCAAGCCTAAGGGTCTGAACAATCTCAGAAGCATCACTGACTGGCTTGGGGGTGGAGCCATCTACCCCACTGTCCTAGGAACCTAACTACTGCTTCCTCCTCACAGAGAGCGGACAGAAACTCCTGGATGCCCAGTGATCCCCTTGGACTGCATATGAGATCTCTGCCCAACCAAGGGAAGGGAAAATTACTGGGGCACTCTCAGAGGAATAGCTATAGAATGGAGAAAGACACCCACCATTTTTCCTGAAATCTAAACATCCCTACTCACGGGAGACCCAAGGTCACATACGACCAATTCCACCAAAAGTCCTTTCCGAAACAGCCTTTTCAGTGATTAAGAGACAGCTGGCCAACAGGTGAAAGCGGGTGGAGGTGGAGACCAAGGAACAAGTTTGCTGACCTGAACCTGGGCCCTGTGGTGCTAACAAACTGGCCCTAGAATGCAGCTTGGTCCCTTCTGCCCATAGCCAAGTCCTGTGAAGACAGACACAAACTGTGGATCACTTGAAACTTCGAACAGACTGCACAGAGCCAAACATGGACAGCTTCTGACCATGGCTAGCACCCAAGTACCTCCCAGGAGGGCCAGAAACAGCAGACAAAAGAGTCATCAGTCAACAGAAGACCAGAATACAGAGGCACTAACTTTGCTGAGATAAATATCACTTATTTTCTTCTTTTTTGCATTACCTTCTTTTTATTTATTGCTGTATTATTTTTGTCTCTCCTTTTTGTTGTATCTCTTATTTTTCTCTTCCCTTTTCTTACTCTATTTTTCTCCTTTCTACTAGTACTTCTTTTTTCCTTTTTGTAATTTTTCTTCCTCTTTCCCTTTATACCATTTTCCTTCTCCTATCCTTTATTCTTACTTTCTTTCTGGGTTTTCCTTCTGCACTTTCAAGTTCTTTGCTCTCCCCCTTGCCCGCTTCCCTTCTCATATCTTTTTTTCTTTTATTATTCTTGCTCGCTCTTCTCTTTCCTAATTCTTTTTTCTTTTGTGGTATCTTTTGTTGCTCTTGTAGGAGTCATTTTGTTTGTTTGTTTTTGTTTTGTTTTGTTCTGTCAGCACCTGCACAACAGCTTGCATGATGTAGTCAGGATGAGTCTCATAGTCAACCAGCCTGAGAGGAGATCCCAACAATGAATGGGACAACAAACAATACCCAATTACAGTGGCAGATTCCAAATAAGCCACACAAGGGACATGCCTAGAGCATCCAACTCAGGAGGTAAGAAAATCTGCACTGTTGGGTACCACAGAACACTTACTATATAAGACCACCCAAAGAAGATTGGGAGGCATAGCAGTTTGATCTAATAACACAGAAACAAATACAAAGGGAAATAAAAAATGGAGAGATAAAGAGACAACCTCCAAATAAAAGAAAAGAAGGACGCTCTAGAAGAATAATATCTGATATCAAAAATACATGAGAAGGAATTAAAGGCAGAAGTTCCAATCAGTGATTTGGAAGATAAGGTAGAAAAAAACACCCAATTAGAGTGGGAAAAAAAATTAAAAAGCAGGAACTTTGGGACACCATGAAACATAATAACATTCACATCATAGGGGTAACAGAAGAAGATAGTGAGCAAAGAATCAAGAACCTGTTATAAGAAAAACTGACATAAAACTTCCCTAACCTGGTGAAAAAAAAACATCATACTAGTTCAGAAAGCACAGAATTCCAATCAAGATGGACCCAAAGAGACCCACTGCAAGACACATCATAATTAAAATGACAAATGTTAAAGACAAAGAAAGAATCTTAAAGGCAGGAAGAGACAGAAAGTTACCTACAAAGGAATACCCTTCAGAATGTCAGCTGATTTCTCAACAGAAACACTTCACGCCAGAAGGAATTGGCATGGAACATTCAAAGTAATGAAAAGCAAGGCCTGAACCCCAACTCTACTCTATCCAGCAAGGCTATCATCTTAAATTAAAGGTAAAATAAAAGGCAGGGGTCCTCAAACTATGGCCCGCGGGCCACATGCAAATACAAATATTGTATTTGTTCCCGTTTTGTTTTTTTACTTCAAAATAAGATATGTGCAGTGTGCATAGGAATTTGTTCAGTTTTTCTTTAAACTACAGTCTGACGGACAGTGAACTGGCCCTCTGTTTATAAAGTTTGAAGACCCCTGATAAAAGGCTTCCAGGACAAAAAAAAAGACTAAAGGAGTACATTACCAACAAACCAGCACTGTAAGAAATGTTAAAGGGAGTACTTTAAGAAGAAGGAATTGAGAGAGGGTAACATGGGTATAAAGAAAAAAATGTCAATAAAAAGGTACCTATCTATAATAATAAAAGCATAATATGCTAATTAGACCAAACATCCTTCCAGACGATGCCAAGGCTGCGAGGGAATACCGGGTTCTGGGTGCCTGCTGGTGACCAGAGGGAAGCCCTGGTCCTAGATGCCAGAGGGAAGCTGGTGCCAGCAAGGCGATAACAAGAGATAAGGAAGGCCACTTCATAATACTAAAGGGAGCAATTCAACAAGACAATATAACTCTGGTAAACATATGTACACCCAATACAGGAGCACACAAATATATAAAAAATTTCAGGAGGATATCAAGGGAGAGATCAATAGCAATACAGTCATAGTAGGGCAATTTAATACCCCACTAACATCACTGGATAGATCTTCTAGATAAAATATCAACAAGGAAACATCAGCCTTAAATGACACACTAGATCAGAGATGGATTTCACTGATTTTTATAGAATATTTCATCCAAAAGCAGAATACACATGCTTCTCAAGTGCACATGGGTCATTCTCAAAGATACACATGTTAGGATACAAAGCAAGTCTCTACAAGTTCAAGAAGAATGAAATCATATCAAGCATATTCTCAATCACAATGGCATGAAATTAGATAAACTAGAGTAAAAATACT